CCTTTCTACCCATATGTTAGTACAGCTTTCACACCTCATCCAGAGAAGTTTCTTTGTGCAATAGATGGTGGCTAATGCAGAAACTCAGAACCAGTCGAAGCACAGGAATAAGTGTCAGCGGAGTGCTCGCCACAAATGGACTTCTATAGCATACCCCAAGGCCCAGGGACTATCATGGAAGAGGGAGCTGAAAGATTGTAAGAGCCAGAGGTCAGGGAGGGCTGGAGCAAAACAGTGTGTTTTGGACATGGCAGGACCTCTGTACCCAAGAACTCACAGCAGTCGTGGTTGCCTGCACAAGAGCCACATAAGGTCAAGCCAGTCGGCATTCTAGCATAGAGGAGGAAGAACCCACAGGCCCCCATCCCTAGCTGAGGAGCTATTGACAGTTGATGTCTAAGGGAAGAGAGAGTCTTCTTTAAGGCTGTCGTTCCTGGTAGGTAGAGCACACTTTAGTGAATGGCCCTATATCCAAGAGTGTAGGGCAGCACAGACTGGAGTCTGTAGGCTATACATACATACATACATACATACATACATACATACATACATACATACATACATACATACACATATATGTATACATACATATATGTATATATATGTATATATTTTGAGACAGGGTCCCACTAGTTTATGTTTTATTAAAAAACAGGGTGTATAGGGAAGTAGAACATGAATCTGGGAGGAATTAGGGATTGATATGCTCAAAATATTTTCTATAAAATCACCAAAGAATTATTAAAAATGGGCTTAGACAATTTTTTAGTATGCCTCCCTCAAAAGGTAGAGCCCAGTATGACTTCTCCTGGGTGTGTGTTGTGCCTACCAACTCACTTCTAAAAGGAACTGTCAGAATAGACTGTTCACATTCCAAGGCTGGGCCATCAAAGACAGTTGGGAGCATCTTCTTTGCCTTGGATTTCATGTTCTGGGGGAAGTTAGCCAGCTCAGCTGCCCTGCATTCCTATCTCTTGGAAGTTGAGCAAATTTGTTGAGTGTTGGTTTATCCCAGAGCTCTAAGGCCGAGCTCTGGGGTCATTTGTTATGTAGCTATAGATAACAAATGGACTCCCAGACGGTGTTAACTTAGAGAAAAACCAGACACAAAGAAATTAACTTGGAAAAAAAAAACCAACATGAATGCATAATCCATTTCCTATGGCTTCTGTCCAAAATATCAAGCAGTCTGCCTGTCACATCACGGAGGGGAAAGTGGAAACTGTAATCAATATGCCAAGATGGTAAACACACCCTCATTGGGAGGGGTCTTGTTTCCAGGTCTTGCCTGTTCTGAGGAACTCTGAAGGACTGGGGAAGGACTACAGGACACATGGCTGCTGGGAGGCAAGGGGGAGAATCGGGAAAGCAGAGCAGTGCTAGGGGCTGGTGTGACTTGGAATGGAGACTTCAAGCACCCTGTGTTTAAAGCCTACTTCATGGGCCAGAGAGGGTTTTTTTTTCTCCCCAGCATGTAGCCAGGATGTTGACATTCCAACCCAGCTCTGTCTTGGACAATGGCCTATGAAGAAAGCAAGCACCACTCCCTCTCAGGTCCCCAGTTTCCCCACCTGTAAAAGAAAGATGGTGAGATCCTCTCAGGGCTTTCCGGCCCAGCTCAGGGCCACCAAGGCTGCTCCCCACCCTTGCTGGGTGCTGGGCAGCTTTGGGCAGAAGCAGAACATTGCCTGGAGATAAGGGGAAGCACTGAGTAAACAAACCGCCTCAGAATCCATGTCACCCTGGGTAGAATGCCCCAAGTCCCTCTCTTTGGCCGTAAAAGGAGAAAGAAGGAGAGTCTCTCAACACAGGTTACAATTCCAAAGACTGAGGCAAACACTCTGGCCGTCAAGAACCTCGGTGACGAACCCCAAGGGGGGTTCGTCAATGCCACTTGTCACCTCCTCCTGGTCATTCCCTCTTACCCAGGCCACCATGAGAAGACACTGTTTGTCCAGGCCTCCTGAGACACGCTGTAACATATGCATGGCCCTTCCCTGAGGCTTGAGCCAGCAAGGCCTCCAACCTGAAGCCATCTTCATCCTGTCCCCACCAGGCCCTTTTCCAGGTTAGGTAGGAGTACTACCCAAGGCCTGGAAGTCTTGGTTGTACTTTCTGCTGGCCTCCTATCCTTAGCTTTCTCTTTACTCCTGGCCCTTCCAGTCCAGCCAGAGGCCGTCTTGCCAGAGCAAAGCCTACAGGCTTATCTCCAAGGCTCTTTGCCTCTTAATCCACACAGGCTTCTCCTAAACCCGAAAGTCCTGCCTCGATGGGCTCCAAGCTCTCTCTCTATTTTCTTTTCCTTTGGGTGCCCCGGCTTCTTTTTTCCCTTTGGAGACATTTTCCACTCTCTGGGTTTATTCCAATGCTGTCTGTTCCCTGATGTCCTCCCTGACCTGTTTCTGACTATGGTTGCTCCCTTCACTGGACCTCACCCGCCCCTGCCCCCCGGCCTCTCTATGGCTTACAGAAGCACCTGCTACAAAGGTCATTTCTGTACCTCTCTCTCCTTCTACCTAGTGTGACTTTCTACAAAGCTCAATGGGAGCCTCATTTTCACAGAGGCCAGCATGGCCAGGAGGACAGAATGGAAGAGAAAGGCCAGGCTAGGCTCATAAAACCAGTCACTTCAAGAACCTCACAGAGACTGTGTGTGGGCTTTAGAGTCAGACAGACCTGAGTTAGGATCTTTCCCTGTCACTTACTGTGTGACCTTAGGCAGTTTGCGTAGCCCACATGGCAGCTACAGTCACTGACAGGGTGAGCCCCGAATGGGACCAGGGACACAAAGCAACCGATATGCCCCCTGTCAGCACTCATCCTCTGGGGAGTGTGTGAGATTCCCAGACAGTCTGCACAGGGATTCTAAAAGTTACTGGTGATGTCAGATCTATAATTCCCTTAGCAGGAGAGCTGTCGATTTTACCCATTTACCAGAGGGAAAACTGAGGCTGAGGCAGTGAATGTTTTTACACTAGGGTGTTTGGCCAGGGTGACAGTGATGGTCAGCACAAGCTCTCTCTTGGGTCCTGGGGCATAGGTGGCACATAGCTGAACAGTGAAGGTGGGCAGCTATCACTCCGGTGACCAAGTCCAGCATTCCAGGCAGCTTTGGCTAATGGTCTGCCCTGGGAGTCAGGTTTCAGCTGATACTGCAGAGGCCCTGACTCCTTCCTGGCCAGGACAGAAGTCACATGACTAGCCCAGCTAGGGGTGGTGGCCGATGCAGGCTGTGGTCTATCTGCTCTGCCTTTTGCACCTGCAGAGGGTCAGAGCCAGCAATGGCCAAGGGACAAGGCAGAGACGGGAAGGGTCAATGTGGCATCGAGGCTGTCGGCATGTGGGCGATGCCTGGCCCAAAGCAGCAGCAAGCTCCCACAACAGGAAGCCTGTTGGCTCGGGCAGCCTCTTTATATAAATGAGCACTGTGCTCTCCACAGTATACAGCCTGCAGAATTTCTCTCTGCTCCTCCCCCCCGCTCCCCCCAGTGCAATGAACGGGATGCATTACCATCCAGGACAAGTTTGCTTACCAAGGACCCCTGAGGCCCAGGTTCCTGGCTGAGCACTAGAATAAGGAGATGACCAGGACACAGCACCACCTCCTGAGGGGGCTCACGGGAAGCTGAAGGGCAGGGGGACCACAGAGGGAGCAGGTAGGGGAACCCCTAGCTCGCTCTGTGCAGAAAGGCTTGGAGGAGTTACGGAGGCTAAGAGGAGAAGGCAGAGGTGTGATGGCTCTCAGCAAAACAAACAGGAGAGAAGAGGGAAGGGGAAAAAGGAGGGAGGGGGAGGGACGGAGGGAGGAGGGCTTGTATGGAGTGTTTGCCACTTCCCACAGTGGCAGGGCTCTTCTCCTACCTGCCAGGGCTATTTCAAGGCCCGCTAAGTGCACAGCTGAGGTGCAGCCGGGCAGAGGCGAGCACATTGCCGCTTGTGCTGGTCCAGGATGCTCTAGCATCCTCTGAGAGGTAGGAAGTCACCTGGAGCAAGTTATGGGCAGGGTAAACACGGGCTGCTCCAGGAGTTTATGACATGGGAGCAGAGGCAGGAGCAGGAGCAAGCTGGGAAGTTTCCAAAAGCCATGACTAGGACGAGGCAGCCGAGTCCCCGAGTCCTCTGGAGGCTCGTCGCGCCCAGTTCTGACCGGGGCGGGGTCACGAGCCCGTGATTGTTGCGACCAATTTGTTGTACATCTTAGATTTATGTCCTGAGCACTTTCTGTCTGTTTGCCACATTTTACAATAAGGAAGTTACTTATGGTGTTGCTTGGGCACAGTAACTTCACAGCATTTCCTTCCCACCTGCTCTCCTTGCAGACATATGCAACCATTCAGCCACATTTTCTCATGCAGAGAAAATCCCTGAGTTCCACAGCTGTGAAGAAATCAGTGACTTGGTCTAGGAAGCAATGTGCAGTCGTGGATAGAGTGGACTGTACCTCCTAAGTGCCAAGTCACCCTTTCCTAGCCCCTCTCAGCAGAGACTGACCACACCCGGCATCCTACAGGGCGCGATGCGAAGCCCAGAGATGTAGGGCACACAGCGGCACTGAGCCTCCCACCCCCGCAACAACCCACAGCCGCCTAACAAACATCTAAACTACTGTTACGCGCAATTCCCGTTATTTACTTTCTCTTAGACAACCAAGACCAAAAGAGTTGCCCCAGAAGAAACGACTAAACCATAGAACTCAGAGAAGTAGAGAGATAGGCTGAAGATGGAGGAGGGGGGGAGATCTAGAAGCCACATCAGGTGGGGAGACTGAGGGGAAAGGGGGAGTTCCTGGTGAAGTGGCTTGTGGGACCTGTGCACTCCATGTTTCTGGTCTCTCAACGGAAGAGCTGAGGCAACACCCAGGGCTCAGAAGGAAGTTCATTGGTTCTAGGTCTAAGAAGGGACATTCTCGAAGGAGTGAGGGCCCCGCCACTATGCACACATGAAGCTGGCAGAGCACATGTCTGGGAAGAAGAAAGGCAGTGTGGTGGGTCACCGCTCACCTGGTTATCAATTTTCAGCTCCACCAGAGAAGTGTTGTGCGGGAGGGCTTCCACCAGGCGCAGGATCCCGGCTCCGGAAATGAAGTTGGATTCCACGTTCAGTGTCTTCAACACCTTGTTCACCTTCAGCATTTCGGCAAGAGCCTTGGCCACAGGAGGAAAGGGGGACTTGTGAGTTACTTTGGGCAAGGTCTGAACAGATCCACAAACACGAAGGGGTGTAGGCCGGGACAGTCTCTGGTCCTACCTTTCTAAGCTTTCTGTTCTCCTGCAACCTGCCTTGGCTCCCAAACTTCCCCGCTGGAGAGTGCTCATCAGCACTCAGAGCCGGACCTGCTCCTCCTGTGCAGGCTGGGCCCTCTGGGTTTACTGCATATGCTCCGTGCTGTCCCACCCCTTAGCTGTTGGGTTTCATTTGACCACTCAGAACATACGGTCTCACTTGGCTGAGCCTTTCGTACCCTTCAAGGCCTTTCTCAAGGCCTCTGGCTCCAAGAGCTTTGCTGACATCTCCAGCTACCCACGGCCTGCTCACAGAACTTACCCGCCTCTCCATGGAACCTTCAGTCCTCAAATTTCTACTTGTTGCTGTTGGGTTTTTTTGTGTGTGCGCGCGCATGTGTGTGTGTGTGTGTGCATGCGTATGCATGTATGTGCAAGTACTGTGTGCATGTTCATGCACGTGCAGGCATGTGTATGCATTCATAGTCACGTGTGTGCACACACATGTGGAGGTCAGAAGACAACGTCAGCGTCATCTTCATAAATGCCATGTACCTCCCTTGAGACAGTCTCATTGGCTTAGAGCTCACTAATCAGTCTAGGTTGGCTGGCCAGAGGGCTTCAGAGGTTGTCCTGTGCCCACCTCTCTCCCCAGCACTGGGATTGCAAGGGAGGTACCATGCCCAGCTTTTGGCAGGGTGCTTGCTAGCTGGCTCAGGTTCCCATGTTTCTAAGGCAAAGGAGTGAGCTTTCCCGGCAGCTTTCCTACACCCCTCCCATGTTTTTTATTGGTACCCCCCCATCACTAGACTATCTTGTAGGCTAAAAATGTACCTTAGTATCTGTTTTTACCACACAGTTCCCAGCACATCAAGCAATGATCAATGGGGTTCCTGGGGAGTCTCCATCTCCCCTTGTGTATGCTCGGCTTGTCTCTATGGCCCTGTTGAAATGTCGCCATGGTCTTCCTCTGAACCTCAGAGAGTACAGGGCCAGCCTGCAGAGTAGGGCTCAGATGGCCCTCAAGCACGTTTGAGAGGGACCTAGCCAGGAGTGTAGATGACAATCGGAGCCTCTGAAGGAAATGAGGTAATTAGCAGCTGGTGGAAACGATGTGTCATGGGGAAAGAAGATAGCAGCAGCTGAGAGGCCTGAGACCCTGTGATCAGTGTGCCAGGGTGTCAGAAGCAATGCCAGGAATGGCTGCCCTCACACTCCCCCAGCTTGCTGAACCCTGCCAGAGGCCCAGCTCCCAGGAAGCCTCATGCTGAAACCATCTCTCCTTCTTTGGCTCCCTCACTTGAGCATGCCCAGAGGTGGTGTGTCAGCTTGTCTGTGACCAGTGGCTGTCCCCTGGTCTGTGTGTGGGGGCCTCTTCTAACCCTCTCCAAGCCTCACCAGCAACACCCCCTCCCAGGAAAAGTCTGGCCTGAACTAAGCACCAACCCAGTTTGATAATCAAGGGACAGCTATCGCAGGCCAAAGGCTGCACATGCTTTTAACTGGATGGACAGGCCCTGGATAATCTTGTCATGCTATGTGCCAGATCCTGTGTGTTGGGTCACCAGAGAGGGACAGGGGCAGGAGATACGTGTGCAGGCAGGCAGTTGGGGACAGAGGACTTTCATGGCTCTGATACCTGGTCTAGCAACAGTCCAGAAACATTTCAGCACTTGGTGATAAGTATGCAGGTATGAAGGGCCTGCGACCAGCTGTCAGCCTGGCATGGAGTCCATGCCCCCAAACCATCCCTGGCATGGAGCTGAGGGCCAACATGCTGAGCCTGGTTTCTGATCCATGAACAAGTAGTACATGAGGTTTTGCCAGCTATGTCACTACACAGACAGCCCCAGGATCCACTGAGGTCAGACAGAGGTCATTGATCTGGAAGTTCCCACACTGGCGGTCTGTGAGCTGCCTCTGATCCCCACCGTGAGCTCATTCAACTGTTTCAAAAACACTGGAGGGAACAGCCTCACCTATTTTAAAGCGGAGAGGAGAACTGATTGCTACTCTATTCCCTCCTTGGAAAGCAAATTCCCAGTTTCCCATGCTCCAGAGCAGTGCACTGTGCTGTACATTCCACTATCTTCAAGGCCAGACAGATGCGTATAATCAGAAGGGATAGGAGGCTGGTTACAGGCAGATTCTCAGAGCCTAATTCAGAATTATGCATAGACTGTTAAGAATGCTTTCCTGGATATTTTTAAAAAATTAACAGTTACTTTATGATAAGTATACTTTAGTTTGGGTAAACATGGCTTCTTCATTTGTTTGTTTTTTGAGACAGAGCCTCATGGTAACCCAGGCTGGCCTCAAACTTCTGATCCTCCTGCCTCAGCCTCCCAAGCGCTGCTGTTACAGGCGTGCACTGGCTGACTGGCAGTATTTTCAGAGATCCCAGTAAAAGTAAACTTGGCTGATGGGATTCATTAATGAAGACAGTGATCTGAGAGGTGGGGAAACTGAGCCCCCAAGAAGGGGCTACTGAGTCCACGCTTTGCCTAAGTATGAAGCACTGAGCGGGGAAGGGCCAACTGCAGGGACCAGGGTGCCTTGCTGCACGCTGACTCTGCTTCTCTCTTCTTATGTGACTTTGGACAAGGCCAGTGGCCCAACCTCCCTGGAGACCCGCCCTTCTAAGAGCAGGGTGGGTGCCAAGATTAGCCAGGGTGAACACAGGGCACTGTTCAAGGGCTGTCCCGGCTGTCTGTAGCCCCTCCTGGCTCCTAGCTGAGTCTCCTCCCATGCCACACAGTGGGACCAGGCCCGAGTCCCCAGTGACTACACAGCAGAGCAGAGAGGTCAGGACATACAAACGCCACGGGGTCATTGCTGCGGGTCCCCACGATGCTGAACTTCTTCACGTAGGAGTTCTCTTTCAGGGCTTCCGCATACGCCTTAAGGGTGGGTATGGGGATATTCTGCGGAGAGAAAGGCAGAAGAGTGAACAAAAGCCCGCACGGGCAGGTGGCTGCAGGGGGGAGGGGACAGCAGCTCTCTCCCAGTGCGGCCTGGCTCCCTGCCGCGTCCAAGCAAGGGGGCCTCGTGCCAGAGGGTGAGACTTGCGGGTGTTCCCCAGTGCACAGATTGACAAAATCACCCCTGAAAATTCACACAGGGCCCACGATCTTCCAAGCAAGGGGTGGGGGCTGGAGAGGGGGCAGCACTCAAGGCCCGAAGTTGGAGGAGTATTGTACAAAAGGCTGAGGACTGGGAGAAGGGCAGGGCTGGGCCCTGGCTTCCACCCAGTGACTGGCAGTGTGTCTGACTTGCTGTGTGACATTGGGGGACTCTCTCCCTCACTTTGGGTCTGTTCTGAAAGACAGAATGGAGAGATACACTGACTTCTCTGTGAGATATCTGTCCCAAAGGGTCTCAGCACTGGCTGAAGGTCCACAGGTCTTCAAGGGACAGGTTTTCATGCTGATATGCAGGCCAGCCCCAGACCATCACACACAGAACCTCAGAGGCATACTTTTTACTCCCTCAAGTGAAAACCTGATCTGCATCCAACTGCCTCTTGGCACAGAAGGGAAACTGAGGTCAGGAGGTGTTCAAGCCCTTGGCTGTTGTAGGATATTTGATCCCATTGTGATCCCCCAAATTGTGAAACCCTGGTTTCTTTGGTGTGGTTGAGCCCTATCACACACCTTTATTCCAAGAACTTTCTGTTTCTTGTAAACAGGTGATTATGGTGTGGTTCACCCAGCCTAGCACACACCTTTAGTCCAAGAGATATTTGTATAGCGGATCTGCTAAAATTAACCCTAGGTGAAGAGGTGGATCAAGAAACCAGCTGACAGGGATTAAAGAGTAGGAGGGACTCTGAGTTGAGGGTATTTAAGACAGAGTGGAAAAGAAAGGGCTTTTAGCTCAAGCTCTGGCTCTAGCTTAGGCTTCAGCTCCTTAGCTCCCTGGCTTTTGGGGCTTTGAGCTAGCAAGCCTTTGGCCTTGGGTTTTTTTTTGGCCTTTTCCTCCTGGGCTGTCAGTTGAGCTAGTGAGCCTTTTGGTTTTTTCCATCCAGGCCTGAGCTGAGAAGGAAGGTCAGCTGGGTGCTTTCTCTGCCTTGCTGAGCTAGCAGGTTTTCACCCCAGCATCTGGCTCTGGAGTCTTTATTGGTAAATTAGGATGGTTGGGGATTTTCTTCATTTAAACAACACTTGGCTGAGGCCTCCCATTGAGGCCCCACTGCTTGCACCTGTCTTGAGGCAGTATTTCCTGCCCAGGACATACAAGTCTGGATTGTGTTATTATCTCTCACATGGCAGACAACAGAGAGAGAGAGAGAGAGAGAGAGAGAGAGAGAGAGAGAGAGAGCCCGGCTATGCTTTTCCAGAGCTCTCATTTCAAAGTGTCACCTAAGCCCCCGTGGGAACAGAACCAGGAGCCAGGTGGAGGAGAAAACTTCGGTACAGGTTTCCAGATCTGATTGTGCCTGGGACTGGCAGCCACAGAGAAGAAAGCTGAGAAGAAGGGAGAGTGGGAGGAAAGAACCCTGGCTTCTTGTCTTACCCCCACCCTCTCACAGCTAATCCCAGGGCCTCAGGGCAGAGCAGGTACACAGCTGTGTCTGGGTCCTCATTCCTCGTGTACCCTGCCCTGGTGGCCACAGAGCTACACAGCACACAGCTTGGATATTTGGGGGGGGGGGCACTTGCACCAACATCTCCCTTCCCTGACTGTAAAATGAGTTTGAATATGAGCATCATCCAGAGGGAACAGTGATGTCTCAGGGGTAGTGCCCGCCTGGGGTTTGTGACCCTAACGAGTCTCGTAGGCACAGGGCTTTGCCAGCCTTGAAGTCCCGTGATGCAGTGTGGCTCTGACTCACAGTTTTATCACAGAGAATTTCCGTGTTTTTGAACAACATGGCAGGTGTCCAGATAAAGGCTGGATGAGCCAGTGGTGGACTTCTGAGCCTAGAGCTGTCATCTGGAAGTAACCAGGACTGCAGGGTTTGCTTGCTGACACTGGCCACCCCTTGAGTGCCACCTGTAAAGGCGTTCCTGATCTGGAAATATCCAGGTCCAAAAAAGTATTGGACTTGGTGATCTATGTTGGCTGAACTGTTGGCATCGGTATGCCAAGACGTATCCCCGGACGACTGAAAACCCTTACCCCCAATACACAGGAAGTGAAATGTCAGGACTTTACCCGGATGTTGTTGAGATTAACCTCTTCGAGTTCCGGGTCATTGTTCTTTATCCTCTCCAGCGTTTCCTCTACATCTGTTGAATTTGGTTCTTCATCGGGCACAGGCTTGTACTGTGTGGGTTTAATCACACCTACAACAATGGATAAAAAATTGCTGGCTCACAGAAATATAACAGTCACTTTCTCCCAAAGTACGGACCTCCTTGGGGGGAAGCATTAAGTTTGGGGTGTAAAAGTGACAGCACACTACAGGGGTACCAGGGACTGTGACGCCTTGGAAGAAGTGGGGAGGCATCCAGGAGGTTTGGGTTGTCCCGGGATGCTGTGGTTGAGTTTTTACAAGACCTGGTGAATTACCTACTCTCCCCCCACCCCTCGACTGTGAAATGTTTGTCTGTCCAAGGAGGATGGTATTACCACCATGCTCATCTCTCAGTGGGCTCCCAGGAGGGTAGGATGAGGCCTGGGCTGGAAAGAAATGCAATTCTCTTCCAAGAGGAAGTTTACTTTTTCTTTTGGCACCTTCACTTCCCTTAGGTCCCAAAAAGTCAGCTTGAAACAATACAGTTGAATAATTGAGACAATGTGACATGGGCCCAGAAAAGGCCAGAGTCTCACGGGACAGGAGAGGACAGTGGAAACTGGGGAGAAAGGCAGATCCCCACACAGTGGTAAAGGATACATTTTTTAAGGAATGTTGTGGGGAAAATAAATGGACAGCTATTAAAAAAATGTTAAGTTGGGGGACTCAATCTGCAAATGTTTGTTTCACTAGCGTGAGGACCCAAGTTTCATTTCCAGAAGCCATGTTTGAAAAAGTGAAAGAAATCTGGGTGCAGAAGCCTGTGCCTATAGATCCAGGACTGGGGCGGTGGCGACAGGGGGGGATCCCAGGAGCTCATTGGCCAGGCAATCTAGCCAAATCAGTGAGTTCTAGGTTCACTGAGAGGCTGCTCAAAAATAAGGTGGAGAGCAACTAAGAAATATGCCAACCTCTGGCTTCCACAAGTACGCACACACACTCACACCAACAGCAAGCAAAACTGAATCTCATGCTATAGCACCAAAACCCACCCACTCTGGGAGGATTAAGACACTAAATATAAGGAGCAAATCTCTAAAACCTCTAGAAGAAAACATGACACTGAGACAAAGAAGGCTTTGTAAACAAGGCACAAAGCCCCAGCAGACTCAAAGGACAGGACAGAGCGATTCGCCTGCAAAAAATGTGCAGTGAGTCAGAGTATCAGGTCGCTCGGCACCAAGATGCAGGAGGAGGCGTCTCTCTTCCAGGGTGCCCTCCGTGTGAGCTGGTCTCGGGGCCCAGCACGGCAGGGGGATGGCAGCCAAGCAGGGCTGTATACTCACTGTTGAGTCCCTCCTTGTTCACGATGGAGCTGCTGCCCAAGGCCTGGTAGTACTGCTGGTTGCTCATGAGTGTGTGCATGCCCAGGATAGCTGTGGGGACAAAGGGAGGACTTGACTGTGCTCCTGCAGACTTAGAGGCCTCCTGGGGGACCCCGCCCTCCACATGCTGGGAGCTTTGCTCGAAGAGATGATAAGATTTGCATGAAAATGTAACACTGGGTTACTCTCGTCCTGGCTTTCATGGGTGTGATTCTCAGACACCCAACCTCCCCAGACTTCGCTTTGGCTCTGCCCACAGATTTCCAGATCTCCTTGAGGTCCAACAAACACACCCCACCCAACACAACCCAGCAGAATGAGTCTTTCCAGCAAGCATCTTCTTCCAAGGAGTGCACTTCTGTCTCCTACCCTGTCCCTCGGGCTCATTTGGCCTCCCCGTGTCTCTCAGGTTATCCGGTCTCCCTTGCCAATACCTCTGCCCTGGCTGGGGATCTATTATTTCCTGGCTGCCATCAACCTACAATGGTCCCAGTATAATCTTCTAACTTTCCGATGGTATGGAAAGTGACACACATTCAGTAGGAACCGCACTTTGGTTTACGTCCTGACCTTTTCTAGACTAGTGTCATCTGATAAGATACCCAAGATTCTAGATGGGGTCAGTGAACCTCAGCTCAGCCAATCTACCATCACCAGAAGAGAAAAACAACATGGCGGCACCCTCAGCCTGCTGTGCTGTTGTGTTCAGCCAGGCATTAAATGCACCTTGATTTAGGACATTTTCAACATATGGTGGGGTCATGGGGCCTCTGCCCCATCACTAGTGGAGAATCGTCCATGTTAACAGCTATGGAATTGCTGGCCTGACTTTGGTTTCTTCCTCCTTCCCAACATTCAGCACCGAACAGCCAGAAAGATCTTTCTGGAGATGCCAACACAATGTCACCAATACATGCTACCTGTTTGCCCGTTCATTTCTTTGGCACTTACTAAGTGCCTTCATTGTGTGCCAGCTCTGAGGGGCTCTGCCCATGTACTCTACAACCTAATGGGAGTGAGCAGAGCTGAGCAAGGGCCAGCACTGTGAAAACTCTGAGTTCAGGAGGAAAGTGTTGGAAAGAAACAATTCCGTGCGTCCTGGAAAACATAAGCGAAGGCCCCAGGAAGGAAACGATGGCCAGTCACTGGCCAAGTCAAGAGAAGGCAGAAAGAATGTTCTAGACCTGTGGACGGTGGATGGTAGTATACAGGAACAGACTAGTTAGGGGTCAGAGGTCTCGAGAGACAGGGAAGAGGAACAGGGTTGGGGTGGATAAGTGGTGGGCACAACAAGGGTGGCAACTCCTCTCCCTGAGTAGCGCATGCGCTGGCCCACAAAAGAGCTTTGGGTCCATGATAATCTCTTGGCATAAATACGCCCTGTTCAATATTTGAGATAAATTATTGAAAAGGTGTTGGCCTTTTTCCAGGTCTGGAAATTGAGCCCAGGAGCATGCTGGGTACCATGCTTGGCAAGTGCTCTACCAGTGAGATATATTCCCAACTGTCTTTGTACTTTTTACTTTGAGATAGAATCTCACTACATTGCCCAGGCGGGCCTTCGACGCATTCTGTAGCAAAGGCTGACTTTGAACTTTGCTGCTCCTGTCTCAGCCTCCTAAATAGTTGACATTACAAGCCTGCAATACTAAGTTCCACTGAAAAGTTATTTGCTGTTTATTTAAAACTTAAATTCAACTGGATAGTTTATATTTTATTCAACCATCCTACCTCCTACTACTTCAAGACTTGGTGCAACTCTTCCTCCTCCAGGAAGGCTTCTTAGACTCCTCCCCTTCTCAGTACTTGGTACCCTTTCTATGCCACAGGATACCTCAGGACAAAGCTAGTGCCAGGACACCTGTGTGCTTTCTGTGCTGGGCTGTGGGCTTCCAGAGATCAGGGAGAAATATGACTACTCTTCCATCTCTTCTAGAATATAGCAGGCATATGGTAAATATTTGGTAATTTTCTTTTTTAATTTCCAAGAAATTTCAGTAAAAACGCTTTCTAGGTAGAGAGAGAAACATGACAGATCTTAAAGAAGACTCAGGAGATCAAGTTCTGGTCCTCACCATGTCTCAGTGTCACCCAGTGGAAGTCACTCCTCTATCTGGGCATCAGCCTCCTGTGCCCAGCCAGGGGTGATGTAAGACACCCCCCCCCAGTCACAGCTGTATATGCAGACCATGGGGGGACTGTCAAACAGTGTCAATGTCCTGGACAGAAGGGTGCAATTTCTTTGGATTACTTTTTCTTCTTTCTTTCTGATAGGGCCTTGATATGTAGCCTTGAACTCATGATCCTCCTGCCTCAACCTCTCAAGCGTTGGGATTACAGGAGTGCACAACTGTGGCTCCCTGAGGTGATTTTGGTGTCCCAGTGGGAGCTGAGAACCACCAGAAGAGATGATCTCCAAGTCCCTTCTGTTTCTCTCTCCCCTAGGAATCTTCTCAGCTAAAATTAGCCTTGAGGGCTCATCAGCTCATCGCTGAGGAGGGCTGGGAGAGTGAGACAGCTGCTGCCTTTCCAGCTCTCGAGGTTTGAATTTAGGCTGTGTCTCCGTGGGCTGAGGGAGCGGAGGCTGAGTCAGCAGCAGCTGAGTCACCTCACATGGAGTCGGTCTTCTAGAGAGGTGATCCCACATCCCTCCCACCCCCCCACACAGCAGAGTCCTCAGGTTTGCCAAGGTTGGAATCAGGAAATTCACTAATTTTCTGATGCCTGTTTCATCTCAGAACACACAGAAAGGTAAGGAAATAAATAAATAGAAGTGGAGAACATATTTGATGCTTGAATCCAAGTGTCCTGTGATGGGTTAGACAGGGGCACAGAAGTGTGTGAGGGGACCAAAGAGCATTGAGCCCTGGCTTGTTAGTTCCTTTTTTTTTGTTTGTTTGTTTTGATGATCTTGTAGAAGGATCCCTTGTTTTTGCATCCACAAAACAGTGTGTGCTTGAGTGTGGAACCCTCACCTTCCCATGGGAGTAGGAGTCACTCGGCAATTCTCACATTTTTAGCCTGTTCAGTGCTGTAGAATAAGCAGCCCTCGTGGTGCTGCCGAACTCCCCTACTCACAATTGACAGGGACACGGTGTGCCATGTGACTCAGCAGAGATGTTCCTAGCCTGTACAGCGGTGCTGTCTCTTTGGCTGCTAAGAGTTCTAACAGCCCCTTATGGAGAGAATCTGAGAACCAACAGCATATTCAGAGAGATGGTTGTTACACCCTGATAGCAGGCTGAAGAAGGAAGGGCGCCATTTAGCAGCTCAGAGGAAGTTAGGGTTCCTGGAAGGAAGGGAAGATAGAGTCGGGGTAGGGGTGAGGGGAGGAAAGGAAGAAGTGAGAGAGTGTGGCTTGAGCTAAATGGCCACTACCAACCTAGGGCCCAACAGGCCCTAGGCACACAGTTGTGGCTGTCTCTCTGCCTTGTTTTTCCATGCATGTGTCACCAGGAGTGAGTGATGCAATGAAAATCCCTACCCTGACATCTCGTGTTGCTTCCTTCTTTGTAGATCTAGGCTGATTTTAGCACCAGGGATCTTTCTTTTTTTCCTTTCCTTTCCTTTTTTAAGTCTAGATCTTCCTCAAAACTCAAAAAGGACTATTTTTGAACTCTAAAAAAGAACATTGAGTTCTGTTTCCTCTCACTGCCTTGGCAGGGCTCCTTCCATTTCTAAGTCCACTCAGGATGCAATGTGATCTCAGAACACATCCCCAGCTTCTCCAGCTGCCACAGGCTTCAGTGGTCCCGGGTGGAGGGCTAAGAGGCGTGTTCTCGCATCCTAGGTACAGGCACAGAAACTGGCTCTGGCCCAGTCTCAGAATGAGAGGAAGATGGGTGCCTAAAGACATGAAGTCACCAACGGCCAGGGGACAGTTTAGCCAGGGCTGACCAATTGCCCTTGAGGGTGGGTGCTCCCACCCCACTCCTTTTCTTATCCCTGCCCTACTGCAAGGGTTTCTGAAACCCAGCTAGAACCAAATCCCTGAGTGAGTATAGGAGGCATCTCTAATGTCAAGTGTTTGCAGCGGACTCCCAGGGGCCACAAGCCAAGACCTCTGCATTGCCAGGGTCCCATGAGTTCTGCTTGGCACCCTTGTAGGGCATGTTTAAAATCCAAACCTACGTGCTTCTAGCCTGTCCTCCTCTGCACCTCTTGGGCCCCCATGAGGAAATAATGGATCTCATTCATCCCAGCAAAAGATGGGTGTTCCATAATGCAGAGCAACTCAATGAGTTAGTGCATGGATTGTCAACAGTGTGCCCCATCTGGGTCAGTGCGTCACATGCTTCTGACATTTCCAGGTATTGAAACTGCTACATAAGCACCTCCCTGGCCTGGATGGAAGTTCCCACGTGCCTGAGTGTCCCTCTCCCCTAATGTGCTTTCTCCAGATCACCTCCACTTGCCTGACTTCGGCTCAGCTTCCATGTCTTTATTTGCCTTGACCCCAGTGTGTGAAACTCTTCCTGGCCACATCTAATTTGCCTGTGTAATTCTGGCCCCATGAGGGCAGACAGGTGTTTCCTTAGCTGTTTTTCACCAGCACCAGGTCCATAGCCTGGCACACAGTGGGTAGGAGAGCCCTGGGTAACGGGTATCATGTGTGAGGGACCCAGCGAAGACTTGGTTTACAGAAACATCCTGGGGGAGAGCATGGAGACCAGAGGCAGCCTGCACACCCCTCATCTCCCTAACCAGGATTTTCTTCCTTTAATGAGTCACCCATTCTGGAGAGTTCAACTAACCCCTCTTGGGCCAAGTTGCCACTTTCTGGTGGGCCGGCCACACCCGCACCTCTGGCCATCCAGAACAGCTTGCTTCCAACCACCTGGTTCTGCTCTTTACCCAAGGCCACAAAGCCTGACATCATCTCAGCTCCTTGATCCTGACCCAGCACTAGGCACAGCTGGTGTCTTGGTATAAAATAGGGACAATAAGAGAATTTACTCCATAGGATTTGTCACGGTCACTAACTACATGCTGTCTGGAGATCTGCCTACCTAGCACCTGGAACATGCTTGGCACTTAGCAAATGTTCCATGCCTCCTTCCCCAAAGGCACCACCACCTTGTAATGGCTGAAGTCAAATGACAGACACCGAAGGACAGTCAGTTAACACTGGGGTGCACACACGGCCGCCTCCTGCTCCTTCCCGGACATCACAGGGGCTTGGGATCTTGGGCAGATCCTAACAGTCTGCCAACAACAACAAGGGAAATGTTTTCAAGAGCAGGCCCAGACGCTCAGTGCAAAGGATTGCTCTGCCGTGGCCCATGCGATGGCGGGAGCCTGCACTGACAGCGGTCATTTAATAATCCCTGTGTGCCCTAATGAGGGCAATGATGTCATGCAGGGCTCAGAGGAGCAGGCCCCAGATAAAAACAGATCCTGGGGAGTAAATAGAGACAGGCAGGGCAAAGTATCCATCCCAGAAGTCAAGGGACCTGTGGGGGAAGATGGGTGACTGAATTATATGGGCACACTGAAGGATCTGGTATGGCTCCACTGGCACCTTATTTAAGCCACTGAGCCTTGTGAAGCAAACCCGGCTCCAGAGTTGCATGTCTAGGTTCCTGTTGGGACCAGCTGGCCCCTCAGTGCTGTTCAAAATGGCAACCATTCTCTGGGCCCTGCCACCTTTGTCTTTCACCACAGTTTCTTTCTGTTGGGGAAAGGGCTGTCTGGGCTGAGATACTGCCTGCCTGCCACACCAGGCATCATTCCTAGGGTCCCTGCCACCACCCACAGTCACCACCAGTACACAGTTCAAATCACTGCTCCACAGCCCTGCTCACAGAGGAAAGCCATCTGCAGCCCCCTCCTCCCTCAGTGCCACCAACACAGCTTCCTGAGGGGCTGGCAGACTGGATGAAGCCGGGGCAGATGCAGCCCTGCCTGGCCTAGGCCTCAGCTCCACCGTCTCCGGCAGCCTGAAGCCCTGTTCTGCCTTCTTGGCTCTCACAGCCACCCTGACTGTCTTCGCTCAGTCCTTTTTCCTCTGCCCACCTGTGACTGGCTGATGGGCCCCATGCTAGGCTTGCCCCACTCCATTCTCAAACCTGGCCTTTACCTGCTATGTGCTCCTCCTGAAGCCTGGCATCTCTGACCATGTCCAAACAAAACCCTCCTGCAGAATGTGAGACTATCATTCGAGGCTGCTTCCGTCTGGGTGGTCCATGGATAACTCAGATGGCCCGGGCCCCTAACTGAACTCAGTATTTCCCCCACTGTCCTCCTCCTTCAGTAAAGATGCAGAACTCACTTGATCTCTTCTTGCCCTCTCCCTGCACCACACTCGCTGTCAGCGCCTCTCCACGATCCCGCTCCTCTCCTAGGCCACTGGTCTGCTGTGTTCACCCCACCCACCCACACACCGAGCTAGGGCACAGTGTAGACAGGGGCAGGTGAGGTGCCAGCCAGGTACAGCCTGCAGTGAACCTCAGAGAGATGGGCACAGAGTGCATAGGCCAGGGACTCAACAGTGGTGAGGGGAGATGGCCGCAGAGGGTTTTCAGGAGCAGACTACCCTCTGGAGTTCCTTTGTGAAGATGGTAAGGAAGCACCCCTGAGGACAGGGAGGATGGCACAAATAAGAGATGTGAGGGAGACACAGTCTTTGCTCCAAGCCCTTTAGGAGGCAGCCTTGGGGTGTGTGTGGGGGGGGATTTGGTGGGATTGGCTAGGACAGTTCCCTGGCCTATATTTCCATTCTAGTCTCTTGGCAATAACAGGAAGTTCTGTGACCAGGAGTATTTGTATGGTTTTAGCTTTATTTTCTTCCCTTTTATCTTAGCATTGTATTCCTTATTAGAAATAGAATGGGCGCTCACACTGAAATGAAGCAAACGAGGCTCTCTGCACGGAAGGCCCTCAGCGGGGCAGGCAGAAGCTCTTGGACGTCTCTCACCTGCAATGTCACACAGTTCCGCATCTGAGGCATTTGCCAAGGCCTCCTCCAGCTCTGGCTCCAGCGTGACGCTCTCCAGCACGGGGTCCATTGGTTTCTGCTTGGGAACCCAGATCTTTCCTGCAAACACACAGGGTGCCTATCAGGGTATGAGATCCCTTCGTGAGAGGTCTGGTCTGAGGGAAAAACCTGTAAACGTTCTTTAACAAACTAGACAAAACACGTGCAGATTATTCAAGGACAGAAGCGAGCAGAATGCGCCCTAGCTTCATGTGACCTCCTCTTCTTAAACAGTCACGAAAACAAGCGGGTGAGGGGGGAATGAGGCAGCTAGGAGACTGACCTCTGCCTGTCCGCCAGTAGAGACTGTTGAAGTCAAGGGAATTCCAGAAGGTATTACAAAAGGTAAGGAGGGGGCAGAGCCACAGCTCAGCCATCAAGTGTCTACTGCTCTTGCAGAGGACTCAAGCTCATTCTTAGCACCCACATCCTGGCAATTCAAAACTGCCTGTGACTCCAGTGCAGGGGATCCAGCACCCTCTTCTGGCCCCCGTTAACACCTGCACTCACACTCACATTCCTAATAATTCAAAACCTAACAAAAAAAATCTTTAAAAAATATGATCATGATGATCAATAAGAAGAAAAGTGTCCTGGAGAGATTTTGTGTGAAAAATCAGGAAAACCATGTGAAAACCATCATGAACAATTTCGGTTCATTTCTGAGAAACTGCACGTGATTTCCATATGTCCCTCTCCAAGCTTGTATACTGGGAACCTAGTCCCCAAACTCCTATGTTAGGGATGTGTGAAGGTGGGGCTGTGGGGGAGGTAACTGGGATTTATTGAAGTCATAAGGTTGGCCTCCTAGAATGGCATTGGTGACTTTATAAGGAAAAGAAAAGCCTGAGCTTCCACGCTTGCTGTCTCACTGAGTCAGGCCTGGTGCTATACCACATCAGCAAGAACCATCTCTCTCCACACCCGCCCGCTGCCAGCTTTTAGAATTTCTTCTCTTTATAAATTAACTGGTCTGTGGTATTCAGTTCAAGTAGTTTAAGATTATGCATGTGTGTGCTGTTCTGGGGAAGAGCAATCAGAGAGGGAGTCAGAAGTAAGCCCTCCCCCCCAGGTCAAGAACAAGACAAGGATCCCAGCTCTATTGCTGCCATTCAACATTGCATTAAAAGCTCTAGCTAGAGTGAATGGGCACAGATGATAAATACGTGGAATTCAAACAGAAGATGTTTCTGTTTACAGATAACATACTCTTATACGGAGAAAAAGTCCAAACTTCCACATTCCAAAAGAAAAAAAAAAGCTTAATCAAACAAACAAAAACCCTACTCCACCCCTACCTCCAAAAAAACAAAAAACAGAAAACAAAAACCAAAAACCAAAAACATTAGAACTAGTAAGTTCAACAACATTTGAGGCAGAGGCCAGTGTTTCTGTATCCCAGCGATAGGAGGAACATGTGAAGGCAATTACGAAGGTAGTTCACAATAATAACCAAAGAGTAAAACACTTGGGGGTAAAGTTTAATACATGTACACCAAAATGCAATGCATTGCTACAAGAAATCAAAGAAAATATAAAGAAATAACTGAAAAAAAAATCTGATTTCATGGATTGGAAAACTTGTGTAATATTAAGATAGCAATGCCACTCAAAGCAACCTACAGTTTCAACACAATCACCACCAAAATCCCAGAAGTCTTTTTCATAGATACAGAAAAGCAAAGACACACAAAGAACCAAGCAATGGCCAAAATAGCAAAATTAGAAGCCTCATGCTCACTGGCTTCAGAGCACAACTACAAAGGTGGTGATGTACTTGTATAAGGATGGTCACAACAAACAACAGAATTGAGAATCCAGGGATGAGGGCAAATACATATGCCACGGTTACTGTCAACAACACAGCATTTCTATTCGACAAGTGCTGGGCCACCAGCCATTCACCTCATACCATATGCAAACGTAAAACCCAATGGGTCAACAACCTGACTGTCAGAACTAAGACTAAGGCATTATAAAGAAAACATGAGCACAGTTAGAATTAGCTTTGGAATCTTGTGGTAGACACAAGGACAAGAGATCATCTGGGACTTCATCCAAAAATCACGTTTTATGTCTCAAAGAATATGATCAAGAAAGTGCAAAGACAATTTCTGGAGGGGGTAAAATGTTCATGAATCATATATCTGATAAAAACCTCGTATCAAAAATAAAGAAACAGTGGTGATGATACGGCTCATCTGGTAAGAGCCCTTGCCACCAAGCCTAAAACATGAGTTTAATCCATGGCACTCACACAATGGGAAGAAGAAGCCACTGCTGCCCCCTGACTCACACACGTACGCACATTGTGATACACACACACACACACACACACACACACGTACAAGTACCTAAAAGTTAAGACTGCAGAAGTAACTTTTACAACTCACCAACAAAAAGCCACATGGCCTAATTTTAAATAGGCAAAACAACCACCACAGCAAACCACGCAAAGATGTCTAACCGGTCACCATTTATGGCCCTGAGAATGTTGCTGTGGGGGGAACGGGACAAATGAATGCTGGCAAAGACGTGGAAAGTTGGACCCCGTATATATTACTTCTGGGAAAAAAAAAGGATACAGTTGTTACAGAAGTTTGGAGTTCCTCCAAGATTAAAGAGTTATCACGAGGCTCATCGACTCTACGAGTCTGCACGCCAAAGAACTGAAACAGGTGCTTGAACAAATACTTGAGTAGAGCCTGGCGGTGCAAATGTATGATCTGAGCTCCTTGGGAGGCCAGCGCAGGAGGAGTGCAAGGTCAAGGCTTGCCTAGGCTACAGAACAAGTGAGTTCAAAGACAGCCCAAGTAACCTCTGATCTTGGTGTGGGGAGGGAGACTGGAAGAGAAAGGGATGTGGCTCAATGGTTGAGCACTTGCCTAGTATATGAAAGCTTTGGTTCCATCCCCTGAGCCAGGAAAAACTTCAAATACTTGTACAGGAAAGTTCACTGCACTTCTACAGAAATATTCAGTTCTAACGGACCAAAGATGAAAACAACCAAAATCTGTGGAAGAATGGCTCAACAAACCACGGAACGTGGCTGACTCTGGAAACATGTTAAGGGAAAGAAGCCAGGCAGCCAATCACACATGTACACACACATACAAAACAAAACAAAATACATAGTTTGGTTTCACTTGTAGGTGATAAGCCATTCCACAGAAACAGATTGGGAAACAAGAAGAGAGTATGTGGAGAAATGTCTAGAAAGGCCCATGCTGATATGGGATCAATGCTTATTTTCCATGGAAGAAATACATAAACATGTGTGTCTGTGTGTGTTTGTCTGTATAAGTACGTATGTTTGTATGTAGCATTATGTATGTATATCAAATGTCACTTACGTCTGCAGGCAAAGCACACAACAAAAATCACTTAGGGGAAAAATGTATGAGAAACTCTGTGGTGATGCCAGATTCTAGGCAAAGGGAGAAACATACAAGAAAAAGAAAATGCCTGGGATCTGGGGCTATAGTTCAGCTGTGAACATGACTGATGCAGTGTATAAGTGAACATTCAGTAAATATTTAAAACCCGTGTTTTATGACCCCCTGCTACAGGCCCTTCCCCTGAGGACAGTGACTCCATGATATTTATGAGGGGCTTGACCTTCTTTCTCTCTCTCTCTCTCACTGGACTGTGAACAGAATGGCTGACACTCCAGCAGCTAGCTAGCCCAGGGAGAGACAGGTGTGCTACAGAGGTGACAGAATGAAGAGCTAGAGAGGACCTTGATTCCTGGCACTGGGCAGATGGCCGATCAGCCTTCAGTTAGGTTTCTGCCTTGGGAGAAGAGATGAAGGAAGAATGTTACCACTGCCAGAAAAAGAAGAGACTTTAGAGAAAGCAGAGTTAGGACAGAGGGAGTTGGGCTATGTACCTTCATGCTGATTTGTACAGAATGGTCCTTGCTTAGGCTTCATGTTCTAATGCCATTAGCAATAGGTTTGAATAAAAAATAACCAACGTGCCCTAGTTAAAAGGAATTTGGGGAGACATTGTGGTTGTCTGGGGGAGTCTTTTTCCTCAGACTATCCCCAACTGATTGAGTATACCCACAAATGATGCTTTGGGGGCAGGTATCATTTCCTGTTCATGTGGAAAGGACATAAGACAGGCCCAGGTATATTTGCCCAACACAGGGCAGGACACACAAATGGCCCATGCCTCAGGAAGGATATGCTCAGGAGCCATGTTGTTTAGTACCTCGTTTCTCCCCTGTGTAGGGAACCAGGTCTTCTCGGTCCTTAAACTCCTTCGCTTGCTTTTCCAAGTGGTCCAAAAGCTCCTCCCTTTTAAAGGGGCCTGTGGGCGCCTTGGTGGTCTGATCCTTCTGCCTGAGGCCTGCAGGGAGCAGTGCATTCTAAGATGGGGATGATGGGTGAGAGAGAGAGAGAGGAGGAGAGAGAGAGAGAGAAAGAGAGAGCAGTCAGCAGCTGTAGGTATGCAGTTCTCCAGAAACACAACACAGACCGGCAGGGGCCTTGGAACTGGAAAGCCCCACCAAGTCCTTTCCTTTTCTGTGCGGGGAGCCAGAAAGCTGGAGGAGGGCCGGACTTGTCCCAGGCCACGTGGCACTTGAGGGGAAGAGAGGAGCTGTGGGGCTCAGTCCCCTGGTATCCCTACGAGTAACATTTTTAAACACATGGGGTTAACCAACAGGGCAGCTCACACAGGATGAGCATAGAGAGATTCATGTAATTTGGTATTTGAATGCAAAACTGTATTTGTTTCCGTGTGGTAAATAAGAGAGAGAAGCTGAAGGGAGCTTGGTAGGTCTTGGATGGAGGATGACCTGCAGAGACAGAACCCCCAACAAGCCTGAGAAAGGCTCAACAGAACTACTGTTGGCGAAGTGCACTGAGTCTACAGCCAGTATGGCCTAACAGGCCTCTCGGACTCTGGTGGGCCTGTGCTCATGAGAAATGACTGTTAAATATTTTTAATATCACCTTTGGAGATGGGTCTCTCAAGAATGACAGCATTAACCCAATTGCTGTGTTCTCTTCTTCAGACATGGCAAGCTCATTACCAAAGTATATTCCTAATTAGGGGGATTTCCATCACCTAAATTGGGTTTCACCAATTTAAGCCCCTAGCACTTCAAAAATCAAAGACAACGGGAGCTTCAAGGATGCTTAGAGACCAGGATTATAAGGCCCTCCCTTCAAGGGGAAACTGAGGCCCAGAGCACAGAAGGACTGCCCAAGGAGCTTTGGGGCTAGACTGAGAACAAACCCAGGGAATTTCCTCTGAGGTAAGGGAGAGGTCACCTTTGTTTCTAGTCTTCGTACGTTCTGCGCCACTTTGCATTCAGAGAGCTAGACGGGGATGCCTCAGAGGCAGGCGTGCAATCTTTGCAGCACCCCATGAAATTGGTGTCACTCCTATCTCAAACACAGGTTCCTGCTACTCACAACACTCCCTGAATCCTTTTCTGAAGAAAGGATGAGAGACACATCGGACTAGCACGCCCACAGGGCTGAGGCTTGGAAGAGAGACACCACTGGCTAATAGCTATGGGCTATTTATGAAGTACTTTCCCACTGTCTAACACCTGCTCTTGTCTCCATAACAGCAGGATGTACCCCCATGTTAGGTCACAAGCATCTACCAATTATAAGGCTGGGGGATAAAGAGCTCAAAGGTGGGGGCTGGCAGATGTGCAAAGGGACCTATACCAGAGGCCAGCAGAGATATTGGCAACTGGGGTTTGTTATGAGAGGAGGACCAGCATGCATAAGACCAGACGTGGCCTGATTTGGGGTCAAGGACAGGGGATGCAAAGGATGCCACAAGAGTCCCAGCTCTCCTGCAGCAGCGGTTGGTAGACAGCATTCACTGATGCTCAGAGCAGACGGTGCTCCCAAGTGAGCCTTGCTTCTGCAGGCAGGCACGGGGCACGTGGTGCTTCCTAAGGCTGGATGTGGGCGTCTGCTCCTTCTGTCCCATGGCAGGGGCTTCTTGTGGCGGAGTGGGTAGGGATACACCTCACTGCCTGCCATGTCTAGCTACGGCTATCCACAGCAGGCGACCCATGAGATTCACAGTGCATGACCCACCTGGTTCGTGACACGGATGCACTTCACAGTTGAGGCCACATCAGGCCTAAGGCCCGACGTGGACTAATGGTGTTACAGCTGAGTGGCATTAGCCAAGCCCTACTGACCCCCCACCCACCCACCACGTGCTATGGTTTCTATGGCAACTGAATGTAAATAATGATGGTGGCTCTTATACGTGTTTGGGGGAAGTTAAAATTAGGTAATGTGAAAGAATGCCCGACACTGGTATAGTAAATGTCCCCAAATGATAGCTTCCCACTCTTGTTCTATCATCAGATAAGATACACTTTAGCAGGAGGCCAGTCATTCAAAATGTGGGTAAAAGAAAATAAGTTATTCAAATATGTTTTAGGAACCAAAAAACCCAGACACACAAGTATGATTCAGTCTCCTTAATATTGCAATTACAGATGTGTTCCAAAAATCCTTTATGGTACTATAAAAAGGTATGATACTATACTTTTTATGGTATCAGGGTACCATAAAGGATTTTAATGGCAGGAAGGGGTTGGGGTTTAGTATCATGAAGAGAGAAACCCATGAGGTTGGAAAGGGGTTTCAAACTCTCTTCACCTTCAAATCTTGCTGCCAGAGGACCTTAGATCAGCCAGGGAAGTTCCTCAACCTTGGTGTATTGGTATATAACAGAGGCACAAAAACTGTTCTAATGCCCTGGTAGCAGTCACTCTGGTTTCTACCCCATTAGAGGCCAGCTGTACCGTGACACAAAAACCCATCTCCAAACACTGCTGAGTCCAGGGGAAACACTGTCCCTGGCTGAGAACCACTACATTAAATCAAGGACATTTAAAATGGGCAGAAATCTTTCTGTATTTAATATTTTCAATGTGTGCAAGAATATAGCTATATAACATTTTAAACCATGGCTTCACTAACTTCAATATTTAATGAAAGAAGTTGAATTCTAAAAACCAAAATTTCAAAAGTATTTTCTAGTGATTCTTAGCCCATCGGCTTTTAAAAGTGCACTGTGACCATGTCAGCCTTATTAGGGCTCAAAGCTAATTTTCTTTCCATTAAAGGTTACATTGACAAACTATCATAGAATCTTCATTAAAATCAAAGAGAGTCACATCTTTTAAAACTCTTAGTTACTTATCACTTTATCTTGTTTTCAAAAACAGCAGATGACCTCACAGTGTACATAAATATTAACTCAAAGCAGATCAAAGACCTAAATGTAAAAGCTGAAACTGTAAAATCCTGAGAAGAAAGTGTAGACATAAATCTTTTGACTCTGGATTAGGCAATGGTTTCCTAGATATGACACAAAACAATGAGCAACAGAAGAAAAAAATAAATGTACTGGATGGACTTCACCAAAATTAAAAACATTTGCGTGTTAAAGGAGACTGGCAAAGAGGCAGATTGGAAGAAAGGCTCGTGAGTCACATATCTGATAAGAGCAATATCCAGAATGCACGAACTTCTCTTGGGACTCAATAATAGAGGGCAAAAAACCAAACCAAAACAGAACAGAAAACCAAACAATTTAAAGAATGGCCAAAGAAGCTGAATAGATTTTTTTTTTTTTTCAGAGAGCATACAAAATTCCTGATGAGGGGGCTGATGAGGCTCGGTCAGTAAGACGCTTGCCACACAAGCCTAAGGACCTGAGTTTGATCCCTGGCACACACACGAATCGGTGAGCACCTGTAACCCTACGATCGGGAGGTGAAGACAGGATGCCCCGGAGCTTGCTGGCTGGCCACCTAGCCTGATTGGAGAGTTCCAGATTCACAGGGAACTCTGCTGCAGAGGAAGACAGGCTGATGTGCATATGAGCAGCATTAACTGCACTCTGGAGTGGGGTGAGGTGGGCCAGTAATAACAAAAGAAACAAAAAGGGAGGGGTGGAATGAGGGGCACTCGGAGGAGTTGGTGGTGGGCTAATGTGATGGATACACTTTGTATAAATGTATGGAGCATCCAAAGAACCAAACATATTGTTTAAAAAAAAATAAGATGGAAAGCAAATGAGGAAGACACCAGACATTGACCTCTGGTCACCACACACACACACACACACACACACACACACACACACACACGAACATGTATCCACATACACCCTATACACACAAAAGAAATAAGTTTAAAATTTTTAATTATAAGACATTCCTCATAATCTAGGTGTAGTACTACATGCTTTCAATCCCAGCTAAAGCTGAAGGATAGAGAGTCTAGAGCACTCTGGCCCACATAGTGAGACCCTATCTCAAAATAGAAAAGCCAAACCAAACCAAAACCTCTCTCAAAGATGCCCAATAAGCACGCAAAAAGATATCAGTGCCACTAGCCATCAGGGAAATCCAACTCACGTTGGAAAGTCACCGTAAAAAGCACAGGTGATAACGAGTGTCGGCAGGAATGTGGTGAAGTGGGAACTTGGCTGCCGGTAGGCACATCAAATGATATGGACTCTTTGGAAAGCAGTCTGGCGGTTTCTGAAAAAGCTATACATAGAATTACCATGGGACCCAGAAACTGTACTTAAGAGATGGAAAAGAATTCAGACCATAGGTTAACCCCAAAACTTGCACACAAATGTACATAGGAGCATGATTAACAATGGCCCAAAGAATGGACCAAAACATGTTAAAGTACCTCAGCTGATGCATGGATAAATGAAGGATGGTAAATCCATGCTGCTGAATGCTGTTGAGCCATGAAAAGGAACAGTGTACCACAACGTGAGTGAGTCAGAAAGCGCACTAAGTGAAAGAAGCTAGATACAAAAAGCCATTATGTGCTGTGATTTATGTGATTTAAGTGCCAGCACTTACTTACTGGGCCAGGGTCTCCTAATACAGTTGGCGGAAATTAAAATCAGGCCTGCCTAGAGGGGTCTCATCAAGACTGAGGCTGAGACAAGTTTATTGCAAGCAATCAGATTTCTTAACCCTTATTAGAAACAGAATAGAACGGCAGTAGCCAGGATCCATACAATGGTGGTTGTCAGGAAACAATGAGGTTTGCAAGTTATATAGATTACATAAGATTAATGTCTAAGACTGATAGTTTTGTCAAGCCTCTCTATGCTTCACTGACTTGTAGGGAATGTGGAGAAACACAGGCAGCCTGAAAGCTTCACTGCCCGAGGGAGTGCCTGTTTCTCAAGACCTGGAAGGCACGTAAGTGCCCAGGCGTCACGGACGCTAACCTGAAAGACCTGTGATGCATGCCTCTCAAGGAAGATAGACAGAAACAACTCCATGGTTCCCTGCGATGTGATGTCCAAAACTGTCCAGTCTATAAATGTGTGCAGTCTACAAAG